AGTGTTTCCGGACAGTGTCAAGCAAGGATTTACTACCCTCAGTTAGCATTTTTAAGGCTGAATTGTATGCCATTCTTGCATCATTTATCCATATTGCATCTATGCCTGTGTCACCATTTGTAGTTGTTTCAGACTCCCTTAGTGCTTTACAAGCTATACGAAAATTTGATACACCTCACCCCCTAGTTCTCCGTATCCAACTTTGGTTACACCATATCTCTACCAAGCACAAAGATATTGTTTTTTGTTGGGTCCCTGGTCATGTTGATGTACAGGGCAATGAACAGGCAGACACTGCTGCGCGGTCAGCAGTACATGACCTGCCAGTTTCATATAGAGGTGTTCCATTCACGGACTATTTTGCTGTAACCGCTACCCACCTTTGCACCCATTGGCAACAATGTTGGTCTCATCTGCTCTATAACAAACTTCATTCTATTAATCCAAGTATAGGTTACTGGCCGTTTTCTCATCAGTGTCGAGGTTGGGAGACTACTCTCTCCCATCTTCGCATCGGCCACATTCGTCTTACTCATGGGTATCTCATGGAGAGGTGCCCTGTTCCTCTCTGAGAACTGTCAGGTTCCAGTATCTGTTAGCCACATTCTGTTGGACTGCCCACTCTATCAGCAAGCATGCAGAATTTACCTCCAATGTCGTCTCTGCTCTTCTGCTCTTTATTTACCTTCCCTTCTTGCTGATGGACCCTCCTTTAATCCAGACTCTCTCATTGACTTTTTGACAGCAACTAATTTACTCCACAAACTCTGATGATGATACCTTTAGCACTCCCCTCTCCTCCATCTCTTGCTACCCTCTACCCCTGCACTATCTACTACCCCACTGTACTCCATAACCTACTAATCATCCCCCCTCTCCCTCTTGCTACGCAATACCCTCACATCGTTCCCTGGTTTAGCACTTCTTTTTGATTATAAAAATAATCTTATGAAATAGTAGAGAATCTTTTTCTGGCAGTAGTAAAACGAAAAGTACGAAATTTTATGGAAAATTTACAAAATTACACTGGCGAATTTTACTTACTGCTTCAATGATATTTATGCATTTGACTCCTCTCTTAAGCCAATTGCATTATTTTGCTATTATTACTTCTATTTTATTGATTGAGCACAAGAAACTACCCAATCAACTGTTTCAATTACCCAGTAAAGTGATCAGAAATTGGTAATTTGACCAATTTCACACAGTTCAAAATATTCCAGTTTCAGAATAGGGTCCAGAATAAACAATCCAGGCATTACTGGCATTAAAATAACATTTCCTCTATTCATTAGTTATGTTCCCAGGCTTTACATATGAATTTCATTTTGATTGTTTACTCACATAAAGAATTTTTATTCACACCAAAAAGTGAAACCTTTACTGTTATACAATATCATAATAATTGTATAAATAATATCAGTGCATTTGTGAATGTATATTAGACTAACCAGTTGACGTGTATTAGATGCGTCACGTCGTTTGTTTACTCTTGAACACCAACAAAAATCGAACATTTCTGCTATTTTGAGCTCAATTTTAAGTTATTTTTAGTACTAAACCCAATCAGAATCATCTCTGTTTCTATAATATATCTTCTCTTCTATCAAATGAGACCAAGAAACCATGAATACAACCATAAAAACCATATGAAAATGCACCACAGAGTTGCTGTTTTAATCCAAAAACACTGTTACTGTATTTTTCTCATTATGTACTACTTGCTGCAGGTTTTGCTTTATATGGTGCATGCTTACCACATAGATCTATTCTCTCATATCTAGGCCCAAATTTACCACTCACAGCTTATCTGAGTGAGCTGAGCTCATGCCATAGAACTACAACTTGGACCCTGTGGACAAGGAGTAGAACTATGGCTTGGACCCTCGAAGGGTTAATAACCAAAGAGTGGATTTAATAATACACATCACCACTCGCCAAGCTAATAAGGAAGTCTGAAGTGCATTATAAGACCCTTGTGGGTTTAGCACTTAGTTATAATTATAATAACAATGAAGTGCATTATGCTAGCAGATTTAATGAAATAAAAGGGGATATGAAAAAAACCTGGAAATCTCGCAAAACTTGGGCTCTTGGATATTAAAGAAAATTGGAGAAATTGTTCTAAATGAACCTCACTTCCAGTTTACTGAAACAGCCAATAAACTAGATGATTTATTCCCTAACACAGTAAATGCTGGACTACTAAAAATATCTACTTGGATGATTAACAAGCTTACTCTCAATATACCTGGACCTGGAGAGAGTTTCGGGGGTCAACGCCCCCGCGGCCCGGTCTGTGACCAGGCCTCCTGGTGGATCAGCGCCTGATCAACCAGGCTGTTGCTGCTGGCTGCACGCAAACCAACGTACGAGCCACAGCCCGGCTGATCAGGAACTGACTTTAGGTGCTTGTCCAGTGCCAGCTTGAAGACTGCCAGGGGTCTGTTGGTAATCCCCCTTATGTGTGCTGGGAGGCAGTTGAACAGTCTCGGGCCCCTGACACTTATTGTATGGTCTCTTAACGTGCTAGTGACACCCCTGCTTTTCATTGGGGGGATGGTGCATCGTCTGCCAAGTCTTTTGCTTTTTGGAAACAGAGCTTCAGGGACCCAGAGACCAGTTATTTAGAGATAAAATTAAAGTTGAAAATCTTTGGAATTTTAGGTTTTCTTAACAAAAAATAGTGCAAAATTTTGGCAATAGGTTGATGCAATCAGCTTGTTTCTATCATATTTCTAAGTATGTTTTGTTTTTTTTTTAAAAATGTAATTTTTTATGTTTTTGCTGTCAAGAGGACATGTTAGCAATTAGTGTTTTTATTATTATTTTTTTACTCCAAAAATTACTATTATGATTATTTCATTCTAAATACTCAACATGGCAAGTTCTGTGACGACTAAAGTGAAGAGCACAGAGTTGTTGCTGCTCAGTTGCCTCTGGGTTATCAACAATGATAGGGGTTTGCAACACGCTCACTCTGGGTTATCAACAATGGTTGGGGTTTGCAACACGCTCACTCTGGGTTATCAACAATGGTTGGGGTTTGCAACACGCTCACTCTGGGTTATCAACAATGGTTGGGGTTTGCAACACGCTCACTCTGGGTTATCAACAATGGTTGGGGTTTGCAACACGCTCACTCTGGGTTATCAACAATGATAGGGGTTTGCAACACGCTCACTCTGGGTTATCAACAATGATAGGGGTTTGCAACATGCTCACTCTGGGTTATCAATGATAGGGGTTTGCAACACGCTCACTCTGGGTTATCAACAATGATAGGGGTTTGCAACACGCTCACTCTGGATTATCAACAATGATAGGGGTTTGCAACACACTCACTCTGGGTTATCAACAATTATAGGGGTTTGCAATATGCTCAGATTTGGTGTTTCATCTCCATAGAGTTTTATAGAAACAAAAACTTGAATAACTCAGGAATAAGTTATTGACATTTGTTTCCCTTATTTGCAAAGAGTAATAATAGGAGTGTCATGATTTTTTCAGACAATGTTGACGAATGATGGTTCTATTTAGTATTCAAAGTTGTTTTGCAATATGTTTTACCATTTTGCTTTTACTGACTCTTGTTCTCACAAAAAATGCCAATTTTTTTTTTTTTTTTTTTTTTTTTTTTTCAAAAATTTTTATAATGCAATCTATTGACATTTCTCGCAAAAAAGTTTGAAATCTAGATATTCTAACTCTTTATCTTTCATCTGATGTTGACTAGAACATTGTACAACTTACCAATTTTGTAGGTCAGGGAGGGTTTTATGATAAATACAATTTTGCAATATCTTGCAACTTTGCAACAAGAAGTCCATGCAAACGTGTATAGGATGCAAACTGCTCCTTAACAACAGAATGAAGTTACATATACTTGAAATTGGACCAAAAAAAAACAAAGTTATGATTTCTGCTCTCTGGTTCCCTTCAAATGTACAGCTAAACATATTGATAATTGGTTCACCTATCTCGAGACAGGCAGAGGGCAAATTTCTAGGTCTCCACCTTGACTGCAGTCTCGAATTTCAGACACACAGCAAATTTCCAAGAAAGTCTCCAAAACAGTAGGTATCTTTTCACAGATACGGTACTGTGTACCCCAATCAGCTCTTATAGCCTTACCCTTACCTCACCTATGGTATTTGTGCATGGGGCTCAACCACAGCAAATCACCTTAAATGGGGCTCAACCACAGCAAATCACCTTAAGCCTTTAATAACCCAGGAAAAAACTGCAGTGTGATTGATTACTAACCCCTGCATTAGACCACACTCCACCACTTTCCAAGAGTCTTAACTTGCTAAATATACAAAATATCCACACTTGTTATTGTGCCTACTACATACACAGAACACTCCTCCTTAATAACTATAACAGAACACACAACCATAATACGAGACACAGATCACTCTTCCATAGCCCCCGTGTTCATCTCTCCCTATGCAGAAATGCTATGCACGTAGAATATCCTCT